CTGCGTGGCCAGCCTGTACGACCCTCTCGGGTTCGCGTCGCCGTACGTCCTGCAGGGAAAGCTGTTCCTCAAGGAGCTATGGCAGGAGGCTGTCGCGTGGGATGACCGGGTGGCTGCAAGCATGCAGGTGTTGATCCGGCGATGGTGGGGAGAGAGGACAGCTCTGCAGCACCAGCCACTGCCGCGCTACCTCAGCTGCAGCGCCGAAGCAGTGATATATCTGTTTGTCGACGCCTCTGAGAGCGGGTTCGGCTGCTGTATCTACGCCACGTGGCCCAGAGTCAGCGAGCTGATCTTCAGCAAATCCAAGGTTGCTCGGATGAAGCAGCAGACCCTGGCACTGATGGAACTGCAGGCAGCATTTGTCGGCAGTCGCTAGCTGCATTTCGTCGCAGGAGAGGTGCGCCTGCCTATCAAGGAGACGCACGCTTGGTTGGATTTGATGACGATGCTACAGTGGATCGCCGGCCAACCCCATCGCTGGCAAACGTACGTCGCCAACCGGGTCAGCGAAATCCAGGACGTATCCAACGGCCTAGGAATGGAGTGGCATCACTGTCCAGGCAGCGACAACCCGGCCGACCTGGCAAGTCGTGGTGCGACACTGAAGGAGCTGCATCAATCGAGCTGGCAGCATGGTCCCGCCTGGCCAATATGACCAACAGTAGAGTGCACCGAAGAAGAGTTACCAGTGAAGGTGAATGTCGTCACCGCCAGCTTGGAGCCCGAGCAGCTCTGGTGGTCGCGCTTATCGAGGTGGCCACGCTTGCTGGGAGTCGCCAAGTGTCTGCTGAGCTGGCGTCCCCAGAGCCGCCCACCGTTGTCGACTCAAGATCTGGAGAGACGAGCCAGGGCACTCGTGTTCCAGAAGGTGCAGCTGGAGCTCTTCCCGGAGGAAGTCAAACGGCTGTTGGCAGGTCAACTGGTGCTGAAGGAGTCGAAGCTCTTCCAGTACCAGCCGTTCATCGACGACGACGGGGTGATGCGAGTTGGCGGCCGGCCGGCTGGCGTCAAGCGACTTGACGTACGGCGCTAAGCACCCGGTCCTGCTCGCTAAACACCACGTCGCCGAGATGTTTTTGCGCCATCTCCACCTGAAGTCACTACATCAGGGTGTCGAGAGTGTGCTAGCTCTTGCGCGGCAGCAGTATTGGATCATTGGCGATAGACGCGCGTTGCGCAGCGTGAAGAGCAAATGCGTTATCTGTCGTCGGCAGGATGCGCGAGCCGCGGATGAAGTTTCCGCACCGCTACCACGAGACCGCGTGGTGCACCAGCGTCCCTTTGGATTATGCGGAGTGGATTATGCCGGCCCTCTCTATGTCAAGGATGGCGGCAAGGCATGGATCGTGCTGTTCGTGTGCGGCACCACCCGAGCTGTCCACATCGACCTGGTGCGGAGCTTGGAGAAGATAGCGTTTCTCCTGGCGTACCGGCGGTTCTGAGCACGGTGGGGAGAGCCAGCCTGCATCCGTTCAGACAACGGCACAACGTTCCGAGCAGCGGCGAAGACGTTGTCGGCAGAGTGGCTGTTCAACCCACTAGCGGCACCGTGGTTCGGCGGGTTTTTAGAGCGGCTCGTTGCCGCCGTGAAGCGCCCGCTAGTCAAAGTGCTTGGCAAGGCGTTGGTGAAGGAGTGCGAGTTGCGCACCCTGCTGTGTGAGATCGAGGCTGCTGTCAACGACCGTCCACTGACACACGTTGGCGGTTTGGACTCCGAGCCGCCTCTCTCGCCCGCGATGCTGTGTGGGAAGCTCTGGCCCGGCGCGGCGGAGGTCACCGATCAGCACGTGACGGCCGAGCAGTTGGGTCGGCGTCAGAAGTACGTTACTGCTTTGACGGGACACCTGACGAGCCGGTGGCAAGAGGAGGACCTGGTCACCTTGAATTTGTACCATGCTGGGCGCTCGTCGCCGATCGTGGTTGATGATGGCGTCCTCATCATTGCTGACAACAAGCGGCGCCAGCGCTGGCAGATGGGCAGAGTCGTCAAGCTCTTTCCTGGGCGTGACGGGCGAGTCAGAGTGGCTGAGGTCCGTGTCATGAAGGAGAATGGAGAGTGCTCTTCTGTGCTGAGTCCGATTCGGCGCTTGGTTCCTTTGGAGCTGATCGCCTCGGGCGATCGTGACCCGGTGTGAGTGGTCGAGGAGCAGCCTGCGGACGAACCCGTGCTAGTTGTCGACGCCGGTCACGCCAGTTGCGGTGCCATTGCTAGAGGCTCCACAGTCATCAGAGCCAGCGCCAGCGGGCCCGCCTGCAAGATCGACCCGTACGCGCACAATTCGGCCTCCAGCTCGCTACGCCTGAGAAGACTTTGGTGGGGAGGATGTCGTGCAACCACTATTGAGTGTGAAAGTCTTTGAATATCTGTAGATGAACAATCTTACATTCCAGTTACTTTGTTATTGTTTCTGTTCAAAGATTTCTGTTTCTACATTGTGCATTTTTTTGATGTGTGCATGCTGTTCGCTTGTCACTTTGGGATCGAGCCGCGGCGCTGTGTCGCGCTGTGGAGTTTTTTGTCATACATATGTACGCGGTACGAGAGACAGTTCTGTACTGGCAATTCATAGTACCAGCGCGTACTTGACTGGAGGTTTTCCATGTTTTCCATTCATATAATTTTGTGTTTTGGAAATACATAAATTCACTTTTGGTTTGGGAAAGACAATGCTCGATGGCGTTGTGAAGTTGCTGCAGCCGTTCCCAAACACCCAGAGTGCTGCGCAGCCATGTGCACCTGACACACAAACTAGACCCGTGCCTGATCCACAGCATAGTGCGCCCCCTCAGCGTGAGCTGTTTGCGCAGCACGGTCTACCCGTTTCGACTTTGCATGCGTCCGGCCCGTATACATGCTGCTCAGCCCGCCGTTCTAACTTTGGATAGTGTGTCGCGTACGCACGAGCTGTTCGCACAGCGCAAAACGCCGGCAGTAGGCCAATTCCAGCACCCTGTCACGCACCAGGTGACCTTCTTGGCTGCAGGGCAGTTTGTGCCACCAGCAAGAAATGGTCCAGTGCCAGGGCGGACAGTCCTGCTAAATGCGACAGCAGCCCCGTTCGTAGCAATGCCGGCTACACCTGTGCTGACCCACAGTGACCCACCATCTCCCCGGGAACTGTTCCTGCAACAGCAGCTGGAACGTGTGCATTCTGAGCTGGCCATCCACCAGACATTGAGTGAGGGTCCTCCTCAGGCCACCCAACTGAAGGTGCCCCCTCCACCACCAGCACATCCGGAACCACAATCCAGGACCACCAACCGCTTCCATGCTCGGCAGACGATGGCAAAGGATCTACCACTCTTTTCCGGAGCCCCAGAGGAGTGGCCTTTGTTCAGCCACCACAACGGAGTGTGGGTTCTCAAATGCCGATAATCTCGTGCACCTTCAGAAATGTTTGCGGGGAAAGGCCAAGGACGCCGTGTCTGGACTGCTAGCAGTACCAGACAACATCAACGAAGTGTTTCGTACTCTTGAACTCCGTTTCGGCAGGCCCGAGCTTGTGATCGGCGCCCTGATCCAGAGAGCCAGGTACTTCAGCACCATCAGAAATGATGATTTTGACGGCATAATGGCTTTCACTACGTCCGTCCAGACACTCGTCGACACAATGAGTCTGCTGAACAGCGTCGGACACTTATATAACCCGCAACTCCGCCAGGAGCTTGTCTCCAAGCTACCAGCAAGTCTGCGGCTGCAGTGGGGGAAAGTGATGCAGTCGTCAACGTCGGGTGACATCAGTATCGCTCTATTCTCCAAATGGTTATTGGAAATAGCAGAAGCTGCCGCACATGTGTACGTACCACGTACCGGAACTCAAGTGCCGGACAAGACAGGTCGTCGTCCAGAGGTGAACTACACAATCACCAGGGATCCAGCTGATACCAAGCCGTCAAGCAAACGCGATGGCAAGAAATCCTGTGATGGCTGTGGAACAGGCGAGCACGACATCCGCAAGTGCTCGGAGGTTGGTGGCAAGCCTATCCGTCAGCTGTGGAAGATCTGTAGAGAGAACCGCCTCTGCTTTGCCTGCCTAAACCACGGCCACATGCTGAAAGACTGCTCTCGAAGCAAAAAGTGTGAGGTAGATGGCTGTCAGGAGCCACACCACCCTCTGCTTCATCACGCCCCCAGGTCAGACGTGATGAATGCCACCCATGATATATCCGCTGACGAAGCGCCGACCGATGCAACGGAGTCCACCGATGCGGCGGAATCTGTCAGCGCAACCGCCACACGGAATCATGTATTGCTCCGTGTCATGCCGGTCACACTGGAAGGACCCAGTGGAACAGTTGAGACCTCAGCACTGTTCGACGAGGCATCCACAGTGACATTGATCAACGCAGACCTGGCACGGCGCCTAGGCGCTACTGGGCCCAGTGACCCTCTGTCCCTGAAGTGGACCAACGGCATCACACAGCAGGACAGAGCGACTGAGAGAGTCAACCTCACTATCCGTACTAGCAGCTCTGCATCTTTCGTCCTCACCAATGTGCGGACTAGGCAAGGCCTAACTCTAGCAGCGCCACCGGTCGATCTGGACAAGGTCAAGAGCAAGTGGGGCCACTTGCACGGTATTGACCTGTCGAAGTGTAACGGCTCACCAACGCAACTGCTGATTGGTCAGGACCACGGCCACCTGACTGTGGCACGGGAAGTTATTGAGGGACCGCCCAATGCTCCCATGGCATCCCGGACCAAACTCGGCTGGGTCATCCATGGCAGCCTCTGCGGACAGCTTCGCAACCGAGTGGACCCGCACATCACGCTGACTATGTGGGAGAAGTCCGACCATGACACTCTGAACCAGTTGGTCGAGGACAGATTCACCGTAGAGAACTTTGGCGTAAAGCTGTGCGCAGAAACACTGAAGTCGTCAGCGATTGCTCACGTTGAAACGTTGCTACAACATACGAGCAAATGGATCGATGGCCGCTACGAGACGGGCCTGCTGTGGAAGCAGGACTGACCACAGCTCCCAGGAAGCTATGACATGGCATTCGGTCGCCTCCGTCACCTGGAACGGAAGATGGATGCCCAGCCAGAATTTGCAGCCAAGTACGAGTCCAAGGTCAATGACTACCTGAAAAAGGGATACGCGCGCAAGCTCTCACCCGATGAAGCTACCAACATCAGCGGCCTTACCTGGTACCTACCGCACTTCGGGGTGTACAAAGTCAACAAGCCCGGCAAATTGAGATTTTTTTCGACGCGGCTGCAAAATCGCTGGCACAAGTCTGAATGATGCGCTAGTCCAGGATCCAGACCTACTTAATTCTCTGGTTGGTGTCCTACTCCGCTTTCGACAATTCAAGGTAGCCTTCGGCGAAGACATCAAAGAGATGTTCCACCAAGTGCATATCCGGGCAGACGACCAGTCGGCACAGTGTTTTCTCTGGCATGGTAACCGCCGCCATGGCGACCCTGAGCAATACTGCATGCAGTCCATGATCTTCGGTGCTGTTTCATCGCCCGCATCAGCGCAGTATGTGATTAAACACAACGCACAGCAGTTCGCTACTCAGTACCCAGAGACGGCCACCGCTATCCAAGAGGACTACTACATAGATGATTACTTCGATAGCCGCAGTACAGAAGCTGAGGCAACCAAGATGGTGGCTCTGAACATCAAAGTTCAAGCTCGTGGTGAATTCAAGGTGTGTAACTGGGTGAGCAGCTTGCACACTGTCCTCCAGAGCATCGCCCCAGAGCTCCGCGCCGTGGGTGACGTCACGTTCACCGCCAACACTGAGCTGCCAGTGGAGCGTGCGCTAGGGTCGAGGTGAAACCCGAACAGTAACCGCTTCCTGTTCACCGTGCATCCATCACGCCTCAACCAGCTGTCCGATTCGTCATTACGCCCAACCAAAAGAGCGGTCCTGAGTCACGACATGTCCGTGTTTGATCCACTTGGTCTGTTAGCTGGGGTCACAGTGCCTGCCGGAGTATTGCTGCAGGACGTACGGCTCAGTGGCATCGGCTGGGATGATGAGCTCCCAACTAGTCTACTAGCTCGGTGGCGTTCGTGGTGCCAACAGCTACTCGACTTCAACAAGTTTGCACTGCCCAGGTGCTACTAAGTCAAGATCCCTGGATCCCTGGATCCCTGCATGTCTTCTGTGATTCAAGTTCGAAAGCATTCGCAGCAGCTCCCTACCTCAGTGCCGAAGATTTGGAGGGCATCGAGAGTTGCCTAGTATCAGCCAAGGTACGTGTGGCACCACTGAAGCCCATGTCTATCCCACGTCGGGAGTTGCAAGCAGCCGTACGCGGCGTCCGTCTTGCCCAGATGTTGAGAAAAGAGCTCAGAATCGAATGGCAGCTTACAGGGTTCTGGACCGATTCGAGAACCGTCTTGCAGTGGGTACAGTCCGATGCCCGGCAGCACAAGCCATTTGTGGCTCCTGGCATCGAAGAGATCCTAGAACACAGCACGGCAAAGGACTGGCGCTGGGTGCCGACAGCAGAAAACGTCGCCGATGATGCTACTCGGTGTCTCTCTGTTGAAGAGCTCTGTGAGGGAAGATGGTGCAAAGGCCCTTCATTCCTGCGAACACTCAAGTGTGAGTGGCCACAACAGCCATCGCCCCCAGCAACAGCCACCACTGACCCAGAGCGGAAGTCCGAGTTCGCTACTCTAACCGTTCATGTCGAGCCGCCCACACAGCTCAGCGAAGCCCTGCCTGAGGCTACCAATTTCATCGTGGGCGAAACTCGTACGCACCACAGCCAGGTTCATGCGTTTCGTGCACAACATCAAGGCAGCAGCCAGAGGCCAGAAGAGCGACATGAAGTCGTCGCCGCAGATTGAAGCAGATGAATTCGAAGCTGTACAACCGCTACTGTGGCGCAATGCTCAGGCCAAGGCATTCTCAGAGGACATCAATGCACTGGACAACAGACAACCTCTACCAAGCAATAGTCGACTACGACAACTGACACCTCTGGTGGACAAACATGGAGTTCTCCGACTCAGGAGTCGTTTGGCGAAAGCCGATTGTCTCAACCACTCAACGAAACAACCTGTTGTCCTGGCCCCTGAGCAGCCGTTCACAAAGCTACTAATCCAGCACTACCACCAAGCCGCTGGCCACCAATGTCAAGAGCTGGTGTTGAATGAGATCCGCCAGCGCTACTGGGTCCTGACTGGTCGCTCCGCAGTCAAGCTCTTGTGGATACTGTCCCAGAAGTGCAAGAATGCAAGCCGCAAACCGCAAGTGCCGATGATGGGCGACCTACCAGCCTCGCGCCTCACGCCCAACATCCGTCCGTTCGCAACGACAGGAGTCGACTACTTTGGTCCTCTGACAGTGAAGGTGGGACGACGTTATGAGAAACGCTGTGGCGTGCTATTCACGTGCCTCGTTACCCGCGCAGTGCATCTGGAAATCGCAACCAGTCTTACCATGGCGATCCGGCGGTTCACAGCCCGGCGTGGTCACCCCGCCAAGATGTACTCCGACAATGGCACAAACCTGCATGGAGTAGATAAGGAGCTGTCGACAGCACTGTCGGCCCTGCAACAAGATCAACTCACCACAGAGCTGACACTGCACAGCATCCAGTGGCATTTCAACCCGCCAGCCGCGCCGCACATGGGTGGAGTCTGGGAGCGTTTGGTGCATTCGGTGAAGAGTGCCCTCCGGGCCATCATGGATGTGCGTACGCCGTCCGACGAGGTGCTCGCTACAGCTTTCGCAGAGGCTGAAGTCCTTGTAAACAGTAGGCCACTGACACACGTTTCTGTTGATCCTTATGATCCGGAGGCATTGACGCCGAGTCATTTAATGATCAGCACGTCCAGTCCCAACCACCCCATCACCGCCAGTACTGATGCTGATTTGTGCCTGCGGAAGGGATGGCGTATAGCTCAGTGTTTAGCTGACATGTTCTGGCAGCGATGGGTGAAAGAGTACCTGCCAGAGCTGTCTCGGCGAACAAAGTGGCACAAGGACCATGCAAGTGCAGCTGACTTGGCAATGGATGATGTGGTCATCATCGCCGACAGCAACCTACCCCCAGGAAGTTGGATTCGTGGTAGAGTCGTCGCCACTCACCCCGGCAAGGATGGTCGTGTACGTGTTGTGGATGTAAAGACTCAGATGGGTACATGCCGCAGGCCAGTAGCTCGGTTGTGTAAGCTGGACGTACACAAGCAGGTATGAACTCTCGTGTGGCGGCGGACACTGGTGACTTGTTTATGGTTTGTCGTAAAAGCCGATGTTTAGACTTGCCGCTTTTTGCCAGACTGTCTGTTATGTTTTTTTTTAAATTGATAAGCCTCCCGGGTTGCCTTACCGGGGGGAGAATGTTACAGCCATGGTGTTACAGACACTGGAACGTGAATTCACAATTATTGTATTTGCTCGTTCGAATTTATTTGTATTTTGTTTCTCTCACCTTTCACTTTTCCCGTGGTTGATCACGTACCTGCGTGCTCCACTCTGCTGCAGTTACAGGCAGCTACTCTACATGCAGTCGAGTCGATTCTATTGTGTATCTGAATGTCTCCTTGACAATATCTGTCTAGCTCTAAGTAATAAGAATTATATTCCTTTTCTCTTCTCTTTCTCTTCTCCTCTTTGATTTCTTTATTTTCGCTTCTCTCAGTTATTTTGTTTTTGTTTGTATTTCATACTAGTTTCGGTACACTATCGCTCTATCTGCATGATGCGATGCAGTTTATGGATGTCGTCGCTTCTTAGGGCGCCGTGCCTGCATCTTTGGAGCGCAGTGCACCGGATGCGCAGTGACCTCAACGATGTACGCCAGAGCTAGGCATCTCTTTTGGCTTCATGTTTCCTTTTGCGCTGCCAGCTTTTCTGCTTGAGGCTACATGTACACGTGTCGATCTTTGCTTTTCAGGACTCTTGCAGATTCAGTTTTTTTTTCACTTGGTAAAGAACAAGAACAAGTAACGGTTGGAAGGAAATCTTGTCTACCACGGCCAGAGGGCCGCAACACCGACCCCAGCAAAGTTTCTGCCATTGAAGACCTCAAGGAGCCTATGAATGTTCCTGAGCTCCACCGTGCCTTGGGTCTGTTCACATACGTCGCCAGATTCATCCCAGAATTGGCTACGATCTCAGCGCCCCTACGTCAGCTCCCGCACACCGACACTGAATGGTTCTTGGACTCCCCACAGCAGGACGAATTCGGCTGAAAGAGCTCTCCGTTTCAGCCCCGTGCTTAGTGCACTATAACCCCAAGCATCCCATCATGGTCAGTGCAGAAGCCAGCAGCTATGGCATTGGTGGTGTTCTTCTGCAGAAGCACAATGGCGACTGGCGCCGAGTGGCCTACGCCTCCCTTTCACTGACCAAGACGGAACAAGGCTACGCACAGATAGAAAAGGAATGCCTCGCAGTGGTGTGGACGAGCGAAAGGTTAGACCAGTACCTCTTCGGCGCTCCCAGGTTCATCGTGCAGACGGACCACAAGCCGCTAGTACCGCTGATCAACACCAGAGACCTGGACAAGGTTCGCATCTGATGCCAACGAATGTTGCTCGGCTTCCTCCGGGACGAAGTTCATGCCATACACGTTCCCGGCAAGGATCTGGTGATGGCTGACACGCTTTCACGAGCACCAGCATCAGGCATGGTTTTATCAACTACTGCCGAAGATCCCACGAGTCCATCCGTTCTCGCCAACCTAGCCAAGGCTTCCGTGTTATCCAGTGTGATGCGCTACGTAATCCATGACTGGCCTGTTACCATTCCTGACTGTTGTAATATCTGGACTCTATTATGCGTACACTACTGTACACTTATGACTGTATGCGTTGCATGCTGTATGTACGTCACACAGGCCGTTTCCCGTAGGCCAGAACTTTGATGTGCTTCACTGGCTCGGGACTTCTCTGGTTTTTCAATTACCTACTGGTTGTGCATTTCTTGCTCCTCATTAGTTTACTCGTCCATGTCTCCTTGTCCATATTGTGAATAATACTACACTGACGACATCAAGCCATTCCATCTTGAGCGAAGCCAGTTGTTTCACATGCAAGGTGTCCTGTGCCACGGCTTTCGCCTGGTTTTTCCGTCCAAGCTACAGCCTGAGATCCTCCAGAAGCTGCACGATGGTCACCAAGGTGTCACAAAGAGTAAAGCCCGTGACCGCTTCTCGTCGTGGTGGCCAGATATTTCTGCCGACATCGAGGCGTACGTCGCCAAGTGCACTACCTGTATCAAGCAGCTCCATCAGTCTTCAGAGCCACTCCAGACAACTCTGTTCCCCGAGCGTCCGTGGCAGTGTATCACATCGGATCTCTGTGATGTCGACGGCCACCAGTACCTGATCACCGTCGACTCTTCCTCCTGTTAAATTGATGTCGCTTGTTTCTCGTCGACTACGTCACGAGCCGTCATTACTCTATCCGGACATCTTCGTTAGCGATAACGGGCCACAGTTTGCTTTCGACGCTTTTGCACAGTTTATGTTGTCGTGCAACATCACGCATCGGACCAGCAGCCCAAAGCATCCTCAAAGCAACCGCAAAGGAGAACGCGGCGTGCAGACTGCCTAACGACTCATCCCTGTGTTGTACATGTGGCTGCGCTTGTGTCTCTTTGTTGTACATGTGGTTGCACGTGTAGCTCTTTGTCGTTCATGTGGCTGCTTTTGTGTCTCTTTCTTGTACATGCTGCTGAGTCGTGGTACATGCTGCTGCGCTGTTTTCGACTCCTGCGTACATGCGGCTGCACCGTCTTCTGTCCCCGTTGGTACACACTTGCTCGTCTTGTCCCCGTTGTACGCCTTCACTTTAATATATTCTGTTGTCTCGTCTTGTCTCAGTGTCAGTCGTCCGTCGTTCGTTGTCAGTGTTAGTTGTCTGATAATTATGAGTTCTCCAGTCGCCTTGTGAAATGAAGTCAGAGAAAACGCTCTCTAACAATATGTACTGTTCCTGTGTTGTGTGGCGTGGCGAGGAGCGTAGAGGCAGTTTGTTCGCGGTTCCAAACCCGTGACGACACCTGTGCCAGGTGATCTACAGCAGTCTCTCTTAGCCTATCGCTCTACACCCCTTGCCAACGGCTATTCGCCCGCCGAACTCTTATACGGCCGCAGGCTCCGCACCAATCTTCCGTGCCCACCTGATCTCCTGCAACCATTCTGGCCAGACATCACCGCTCTCCGGACCAAGGAGCAGGAGGCTAAGCATCGCCAAGAAGATCACTTCGATCAATGCTTAGCAGCCAAGTCGCTCTCCCCTCTGCCATTGGAAGCGAAAGTGTGGTTCGACAACAAGCGCTAGGGTACAGTGGTTGAGCAACTCACCGATCGCTCCTACAACATCGCCACCTCATCCGGTCTTCTGTGAAGTTGGTTCTGCCAGTGACTCCTCCCGGACCGGTGCCAGCAGTACCACCGGCCGCGCTAGTCCCGCATCAACAGCCTGCGTCTACGTCACAGCCAACTCTCCGTGCTCGCAACAACATCCAGCCACCGCAGAGATTGATCGCTACCATGTAACTCTCTCTGGCTTCATGCTATTGCTAGCCCGCACATTGAATAATTCTGTTCTATGTGGTTGGCTATGTACAACCCTTACATGTATCTGTCTTGCCTTTGCTCAATAACAGTTTCTTTCCCAGCTGTTGTGTTTTTCTCTTTTTCATTTTTTTAAAAACAGGGACATGTCCTATCCTGTATCATGTTATCCTTTCACCCATTCACGGCATAGTCGTTCCCCATGTCTGTCGCCATGTATACACGGTACGTGACCTCGCACTACCCCCGTGCTACGCACAATACCATACTCTGCTGGGCATGGCCTCCCTGACTCTTCACTATATCAACACTCATCTGTCTGTAAAATAAACCACCTCATTAGGTCCGTACATGACACAACAGTTTCCATGACCTCAGATCACCTTGTGCACATTTCCCGTACGGTAGAGTTTATTTATGCACCCCCGTATTTGTATACGTCTCCCAGGTTCAGTGTACCTGCTCATATACGTCCCTGTGCGGACTGTACCGTATCTATGAATTTCCATCAACACATCTGTCTCTCCTTATTGCTTTTTCCTTCTCTCTCTCTTTCTCTTTCTCTTGGCTCTTTTCCTTTGGCATTCATACAACACTTTTCTTGCTCCTCAATTTATTACGACTACAGTGCAAATCTATCGAGCACACCAAAATTTCATACGGAATCGACCGACAGGTGGCCCTGGATGGCAACCCTGTTGAGATCCTAGTTGAAACAGACCTCCAGCTTCAACGTCTAGATGAACCTGTTTCTCTTCCACGCGTGCATGTGAAAGCAAGTGTTGTCGGATCACTCGCTGCTGTTGGCGCATACGTACATCTCTGCGCAGACCTAATTGCTGGCATCGGAGGTGTCAGCATAGGCTATGACGAAGCAGGTGAGTTAAACCCTGCTAAGTTTGGCCCGGGCACAGCAACTTCTGGCATCACAGCAACAACCGTGTGTGCCGGTGAACACCCCTTATGTCATGTGACCGTGACGAAGCATGATATAGGGGTAATGCTGGAAGCCGACAACGGTCTAATCTGATGGGATAAAGACACGGAGCAGTGGCGCTGGAAGGACCGACGGACAAGCGCCAACATGGCCGATCGGCTCAGTCATTTGCCAGTACGAACGCAGAGATCTGTTCGATGGTCCACAGGCTCAACCCTGTGCAGAAGTGGACTCGTGGGTAGAGAGGGTTTGGCTAGTAGAGCTTGATGAGGCCACCCACGGATGCATTGGAAACTTCATTCCACTAATGACGAAGAGCCAGACACACAAGGCTAGCACTCCAGTACGTCCGTGCTTAGACTACCATGGCTTGAATAACCTGATCCAGTCCAGGCCCGGTAAGGATGCGCCCGCATGTTCGGAGAAGATTCGTTAATGGCAGAAAGTCGGAGAGCGGTATGAGCTCGTTGACATACACGAGGCTTACCTGCAAGTGCACGTCGATCCTGCTTTTCAACGCTACCAGGTAGTCGTTACAAGCTGTCCGTGATGACGCGAGTGTGCCTTGGGCTAGCAATTGCCCAGAAAGTTATGTTACACGGCCTTGGCCTGAGGTGGACAAATATGTTGATGATGTGCTGATGCCAGCATCGACACGAGAAGCAGTAGCTGCTGAACTGGCGCGCTACAGCCTGCCGACAAAGCCACCAGAGCTACTGTCTACTGCACGAGTCTTTGCATTGCAGCTGTCGACATCTGCTACCAGTGCCAGATGGTTGAGGCGAGATGGCATACATCTTAAATTTGAGCTTCCCCTGACAAAGCAAAGCGCCTTCCAGTGGACCAGTCACTACCCAGTATGCGCCTGGCCCCAACCCGTTTGTTCGTACTTGAAGCATATGGCAAGCACAACTACTGGGAAGGACGATCCAGTTCTGTAAGGCAATGTACGGTGTGCCAAGGAAGTAGTTGAGCATATGGCATGTGGTGACACTGCGTGTGGAGTTTGGCGTGTGCCATCAACGTCTGACGGCAACTGGGCAGTCTACTGCGACGTGTCTGACCTGGCAACTGGCGTTGTGCTGAAACGCAATGGAGACATCATT